CTCATCTCATGTGGATGCTGCTGAGAGGTACTGGCCCCGCTTTACGGAAAAGATAACTTGGGTTCACAGAGGTTGAAATGTGTGCCCTGGGTCACCAGATGGTAACTGACAAGTCAGGCTCGTCCAACCCCAGAGCACATACCTCTTGACCTTGGCCAGCCTGTTGCCTCCATCGCATACACAGTCTCTGCTCAGCCCCAAGCAGTCTATGCTTTGTCCAGACTGACAAGCACCCTTCTTTCCCCCTTTCCCTGTCTTTCCTCATTTTCCCGGTCACTTCTCTTTCTGATAAGGTCTTCCAGTGTTCTGGCAACTTGTTCCAAAGCCTATCCCACATGCAGGCCTTATCCTACATACAGGCTTTGGGATCACACACACACACACACACACACACACACACACACCTCACATCCTGATTAACTGCTCTATACTCTTGCTTCAGTCTACCAGGCCACTTTAATAACCAACCACTTAACTTGTCGGTGGTCAGCCCAGACCTCACCTCCTCCAGGGAGGTTTCCTCGATTAACAGAATGCTGATGTTCTGTTGGGCTCTTTCCCCTAAACTGGATTACTGCCTTAGCAGAACATATGCTGATATAGTGGCTCTTTTGCATGTATGTGTCTGTGTACTTGTTCACCAATACAAACCTTCCATGTCCTAGGGGCTTCTCAGCCTCGTATATGGGCCCCAGCTATGGAGGGATAATCCCAATATTCCAGAACATCTGCACAGGCTCTCCCCACCCCCACCCCCACACTGCTGCCAAGAGTCAAGCTTTGGGGCACAGCAGGACCAGGTGTGGTGATGTTTTGAGAGCTTTTTGAGGGATGGGACCAAGAAAAGAATTAAGAGGAACATGCAATGACAAGCCACCCAACCCTGCGGGATGGTGCCAGGTTTGTGGGAGAAAGAGATTTCAGGGGAGTGGGGAAAACTGGAGCCTGGGAGGGGTCCAGGGGAGTCACAGACAATGGGGAGGCGGGGTGAGATGTTGAAAGCTGGCAAATGGCTGAGGAGGGGCCGAGGCTTTTTAATGCACCATGGAAAGGTGCAGAGCAAGGGGCAGATTCATTGAAGGCAGGCAGCAGAGAGGACAGCCCCCGAGAGTCACTGCTGGACAGTGGGAGAGCCAGCAGAAGCCAGAGAGGAGGGAACCAAAGAGCCATAAGTAAGAGAAAGGCAGTGAATGCTGTATCAATCTGTACTGGGGCAGGAGTGGGGGGGGGCGTGCTGTCACAATCCTGGTTGCACATTTCTAGCTGTATGACCCTAGGCAAGTCACCAATCCTCTCTAAGTCTAAGGTTCCTCATTTGTAAAATAGGGGCTAAATCTACCTTCCAAGGAAACTGCAGGGTGTAGATGGGAGAGAGAAACAGAGAGAAAGAGAGAGAGAGAGAGAGAGAGAGAGAGAGAGAGAGAGAGAGGTCAGTAGTATTCGCTGGTACCATCATTGGGAACATTTTTGCGCAAGCCCCTTGCTGCAAATTGTTGAAACACTAAAGTTTAAGTTCTTGAAACTCAACAGAACTTGTGAGTACCTTGTGTTTGCCATGGGGAAGATAGTGTTGCACCTCAGAGAGATGATGCTAGCAGCCAGCACCTGTAGCAGAAGGGGGGCAGGATTAAATGCAAGGATCCCTGACTGAAACCAGGGAATGCCTGCCTGTTCTGTGGAATGGAGCAAAGTCCCATGGGGGCAGCAGGCTGGAAGCCAGGCTGCAACATGGAGCCCCCAAAAGGCCTTCCAAGCTTAGCATTGGGATGTTTGGAAATGATTGTTCATTCTGGAGAACCTCCCAAAGCCCTAGTTCCCAGCCCAACCCAGCAACAGAGCACTGATCAACTTGAAGACATCCAGTTTCCTGGACCGATCGGAAAGCTGATAAAACCAGGACAGTGAGTCCAGCAAAGCCATGGGAGCAACAGAGAGCTTGACGAGGGACTGCTGGAGCACCTGGCTCTTTGATTTAATCCTTCTGGGCCAAAGGGCTAGGCAATTGGGTGGCATTCTCAAGACTCCTCCTCAGACCAAGCACTTTCCCAGCCTAGACACGCACATCTCACCCAAGGTCAGATGGAGTTAGAACGGTGGTGAGCCAATGGCTGTTCTTCCTGCTCACCATGTTCTAGATAAAATCTCTGCAGCTGAGAAGCTGGTGGAAATTAAATTTAGATTTCTGTTGCGGCCCGCCCTGCCACAGCCTCCCAGGGGGAGGAGCAGCTGGCAAAGCTCCCCTGGGATTCACACGAGCTCCTGCCAGTCAGTATCTGACGGGTGATGGGTGATGGGCCAGCTTCGCTCTCCTTTTGACTGCCTGCCTTATGAGAAAGTGCGATCTCAGCATCATGGAATACGCCACCAAACCCCTGCTGTCCTGTCACAGTGACAATGGAGACCACGTGGGAAAACACAAGCAAGGCATTCTGTACAGTTTATAGAATTGCTTGTTTTTCTCATCAGGATGATGGGAGTGTGCTGGCGTTTGACCCTGGTGAGACTGCTCATTGACCACACCACGGAACCTTTCTGGAGTCTTCGGATGCCTCCCAGTGCCCTAGTGCAAGCCCTAGAGAACTCCCTATTTCCCAGAACATAAGCACATAGACTCCAAACTCCAGAGTCCTTGCTTGTCTTCTCTCCTCCCCATATTTCTTATGCCCCTGCCGTGGAGCATCTCCCTGCCCACAATCCTAGAACTGGGGCATTTATTTCCCTCCTAGTCCAGTTTCCATTCCTCCCTGACTAAGATAGTCAAGTCTTTGGAAGTTAGAAAAGGCAAGGCTGTGTTTTCTGGGACAATCCCAACTCCGGTACAGAAGGATGGAGAAAGACGGCCTATGACTAGCCCCATCCTGATGCTTTTTCCCAGAGTCACCCTGGATTCCCTTTGAGCATCATACGCATATGAGTGATCTCAGTCCACACCCTCAACTGGGTCTAGTGCTGCCAGAAAGCTCAGATTTGTTTTATGCTCCTGGCTCTGTGCATGTCTTTCCCTGGTGTCTGACCTTATTCTTCTTGTTAAAAATACAAAGTAGGACCCCTGTTTTCCTCTGGCTCTCCCACAGGCACACTTAGGACAGCAGAAATGTGAAGTGCCTCCATGCACATGTCCCCACTGTCCTTTGTGACTACCCTCAACCTGATAACTCCCCAGGGGGCCTCTCTCATCACAGCTAAACAGCTGGTGTCTCTCACATGGAATCAAATCTACTGTAGTTCCCACCCGTCCAAGTGGGTCATCGGCTGGGGCCAAACCTCTTTATCTAGCCAGACTCATCAAATCTCTGCAGCCAATAAGTCCATCTCCCTCTGCCCGGGCTTCTCTCCAGACTCTCCAGCCATTCACGGTGACCAGGCTTCTTGTGCCCACCAATACTGCCCTGGTCACTGTTCTGTGAATAGGGTCCTGTCTGTTACCAGTCTTGGCATTCAGAGCTCCCAGAGTGGTCTCACAACAGAAGAGCCTGAACAGGGCTCTTCCTAGTTCTCCTCTTCCTGGTTCCCACAGCTGTCTTCACTCCCACCACGCCCTGTTGACTAATGCATTCTCACTGACAGGTAAACGCTGTCGATCATTTTTATTCTCACTGTTGTCTATCTACCTCTCCTTGGCTACTGCCTAGGCTCTAGGCTGTTGGATTTTTACTTTAAATACCGAACCTTGCTTCCATATCCTCTTTCTCTTCTGTTGGGACAATCCCTCTGCTTATCTCTCCCTTCCCTAGCCTGCTTCCAACAGACCTGCTACTAAGACAGAATGTCAGGTGTGCCTGGGAACACATCTTACCAATACAGGTTGTAGTCAAAGCTGAATGCATCTCATATCTAAGTTCTATCTGTATTCCTTTATTGAATGAGAAGCCAGGTCACAAATCTTACGAGACTCCCTCAAACAGACTCTGAAAGTCCAAATAGGTAATCATGGAGTGATTGACTCCTTTTTTTTTAATTTCTACATCTTGCTTCATTTAAAGAATGGATTAAAGCTGCCCTGGCCCTTGTCCCCGATCAGTGAATAGACCTCCACTCAGCAAATGCCCCACCCTGCTTCCTTGCCTCCTAACTTAATTTCTCCCTCACACATTCTCACCCTTCCTTATCTTTTAATCTCCAGAGGACCTCCCTGGCTCCCTGCCCACATCTGCCCCTACTTTAACCCCAACCCCCACACCACTTTCCAGTCTCCAGAAGCTAGCTCTGCCCTCCAGTGACCCCTGCTGCAGCCCCACATTCCAGCTCTGTGTCTGCTTGGGTCCTGGGGGCAAGCCTCATTCCCACCACCAAGCTGGAGAACCCGCAGCACAATCCCTTCCCCTCTACTGTGTCTTTTGTGTTTCAGCACTTCAAGATTCAGAAACCATTCTCAGTGGCATCTCAGTGCCTATCCCACTGCCTGCTGCACAATAATTGACTCTGGTATGATTGCAGCCCATAGTAAGCCATCATAGGAGCTACACAAATGTAGAACAACTGTGCAGCTTGGGAGACTTTTCAAGGTGGTACACTGCTTGGCAACAAAAAATAATGAAGAGAATAGTCCTTGGGGGCCCAGGATAGCACCACAGGAACATGCTTGCCTTAGAAGCATAAGGATCCGAACTGTTCTCCCAGAACCCACAATTTAAAAACCTGGCATATGACATACACTTGCAATCTTAGCAACAGATTAGGAAGAAATCAGCGGGTGCATGGAGCTCACTGGACAGTCCACCAGACTAATTAATTGGCTTGGCAAGTTACAAGCCAATAAGAGAACTTCCCCTACCCCCAAAAAGAAGATAGACAATACCCAAAGACCAACAGCTGATGTCCTCTGGCTCCATGGGCACATGCCTGCACACGCACGTGCACCAACGCGCGCGCGCGCACGCGCACACACACACACACGTGCCTATATATGTATATATATTCACACAAGAGAAATATTAATATCAATAACAATAATAAACCTTAACTTCCCAAATTTGAATTAATTTCAAAGAACAACGTACTGAGATCACAGAAAATTTTATTGTAGAAAAAACAGAACTGCCAAACCCTTCAAAGTACAGCTTCCAAACAGGCAATGAAGTCACAAGCATTCCCCAGGGGACCCAGACAGAATTACAGACTCAGCAAGCCAGTGAAGGGGACCCCAGAACTGGGAATCAAGGCCACATTCCCTCTCTAGAGGCTGTTCATTGGGTGGTACTTTCCTCTTCCTGCCCCATAAGCACAGTCCAAGAATTTTCCATTGAACCATAAATTACATTTTAAATTAGGAGTCAAAGTAAATTCAATTTTCAACTAGGAGTCAAAGTCTAGCAACGTGTTCAGAATCAGGGGTCAGAAGAGACTTAGGAAGTCTGAGAGAAAGAGCATTGGACTGCCTGCAAAAGCCCCGGGGCCGTTTCCAGACTGATGCGAGGCTGATCTCTCCATAGCCTGTCAACACCTGCCATTCCTCAGGCACTGTATGGAGCAGGGCTGCCCTGCAGGTCACGGTGGTGGGGCAATTCTCAGCACTTGCTTTTGGAGCCGAGTTCTGGAAGGGGCTGGCTCCAAAGGGGGGAGGCTGCTGGAAGAGGGAGGGAAAGTAACAAAGCCTGATTGTCCCCCACCCCATCCCACCCTACCCACTGCTGAGAACAGTCATTCCTTGGACAAGGGCTTAAATTCCTGGGCCTACTGAAACATCCCTACCTGGGGCTATTAACCCAGGGGATAAAATAGTCCAGTACGGGCATGACCTACGGGTACTGAATCAGAACAAACCTACCCTTGCCATCACGGTGAGGGAGCATGAGGCTACACAGCAAGGGGCCCCGATGGTCCTTGGCTCCCCTGTGTCCCTCACTAAACGAGCTTGCCTTGCAGTGGGCTTCTGGGAGCGAAGATTTCAGAAGGGCCACACGGCGGGGGGGGGCGGGGGGGCGTGTTATTATTTACTGAGCTACTCAGTTTTAGGAATTGAGGCCTCTAGTGAAGTTGTTCTCCAAGTTCTTTTTTCTTCATTGCTGGACAAGGCGCCAGGGGATCAGGACCCGGTGGAGGGATGCCCGAGTGAGCATGTGTCTTTGACGAAATAAAGAGGCTGTGAATCTGACCTGCTTCCCCATCTAGAGTCGAAGTGACCTGGAAGCTTGCTGAGACCCATTGGGAAAAGGTAGGTGAGAGAGCCCGGGAGGGACTGAAGGGAAGACGGCGGCAGGAGAGGTCCCGCAGCCGCGTGGCCGCTACTCCACCACGCGCCTGCGCGAGCTGTGGGTGGAGGTCTGCACTATCTGAGTGCGGGAGGAGCCGCCGCTCCGGCCGCCGCCGCCGCCGCCTCCGTATTTGCTGCTGCTTTTGCTGCTCGAGCCGTAGCTGCCGTAGCTGCCGCTGCCGCCGCCGCCCCCGCCCCCGCGGGAGCCTGCTCCTCCTCTGTAACTGCCGCCTCCGCCGCCGCCGCTGCTGCGGGAGCTGCTGCGGTATCCTCCGCTGTAACTTCCCGAGCCCCCGCCGCTGCCGCCTCCATAGCTGCCACTGCCTACGGTCACCTGACTGCTCTGCACCGCTGTACCAAGGAAGGACAGATGCACAAGGGTCAGAAGGACCTGGCAAAGGGGCCCAGCTGCACCTGCCACGAGCACCAGCAGCACGTGATCCGTGGTGACCTCCACTTTGCAAACAGAGGCACTGGAAGTCAACTGAGCACTTCATAAGGACGTAGGCATTCATTTAAGTATGCTACCCCTGTTTAGGGACAGGTCCTCAGTGCTCAGTGCTCAGCTTTTATGGAAGACATCTCCTAATGATCTCCAACCAGTGTCGGCAAGTATCACAAGCGAGAAAAGCAGGCCTTGCTCACTCTGGTGTCCGTGTAAGAGAGTATAAACAAAGGCCACCCTGACCAGCCCAACCAACATCCACCCAGACGATGCTACTTACAGATGCTCACTTGACTCTGCAGTTCCCCTGACATCCTGTGAAATCAAAGCAAGGTCATCAGCCGTAGGAGCAGAGACTCTGGTGTAGGGGTAAAGTAGGGCTGTCCCACAGCACTTTCATGAAGCCTTGTAGCATTTATGGGTCACACCTGGCTGGAGTTCAGGAACATGACACTTGGGAGAAGTGGGGTGATAGCAATGGCTTCTCCCCTGCCCTTCTAACCTACACATCCTAACTTGAATGTTTCTGCTCACCCTGAACCACCAATATTGCTAGGGACGCCCGGAAAAGCCTTTCTTCATTCTCATTGCTCCATGGGTACATACATATCTTTGGCCCACGGGACACGGCTGCTGTACACGCACCTGCTCTCCTCGCCCTCCAGCAGCTTGCGATAGGTGGCAATTTCCACATCCAAGGACAGCTTGGCCCCCAGCATTGCCTGGTAGTCTCTCAACAGCCTGGTCAGCTCCTCCTTAGACAGCTGCAGGGCCTCATCCATGTCTTGCAGCTTCTGCTTAGCATCCTGGAGAGCCCTCTCTCCTCTCTCCTCTGCATCAGAAATGGATCCATGCATCTGTTCGATCTATACCAGAGACAAGTGGAGGATCACAGAGGTATTGAGCGCCTGGGATCTGACCCGGGCCTTATGGGAGGTAGCATGTCTGGCGAACCCACCACGAGCACCCATCCATCCCACCTGCTTCTTGACACTGGCAATTTCTGCCTGCAGCCTCTGGATGTTGCGGTTGAGCTCTGAGATCTCCATCTTGCTGTTCTTCAGGTCGTCTCCATGTTTCCCGGCCGTGATCTGCAGCTCCTGGTACTATGGGTCAGAGGCAGCACCATGGTCAGAACTGGTGGTTCATTAGGGTCTCCCAGACAAAGCTCTGGGCAGAGTTGTGATACTATATACACCCACCCCAAACTTCTCTCAGCTGAGGAGCAAAAAGACATGTGTGGACAAAGAACACCACACACACACACACACACACACACACACACACACACACACACAGGCCTATAGCAAGCCTCCCTCCTCCCTCAGGAAGCGCTGACAAGAAAATGTGCATTCTGACAAAACTCCCCTTCCTCAGTCACATGGCAAAATCCACTGCATCCCAGAACATCTGCTTCCAGATTGTGGGATAGAGGTCAGTGACCCTAGAGTGGCTCCAAAATCCACAAAGTAGATCACCACATCCTGCCTACTCAGAATTCACTGTCAGCCTCTGTTCCCTCAACTAAAGTCTTAGTCATTCAGAAACATGAATTCATACCTAAGAGGTAATAGAAAATATGTTTAATTGCAGAGTGACAAGTGGTCACCTAATAAGTTCCCATACTAAGAAAGCTGTAGAAATTTAGAGTCACAGAAAGTAATTTCTAAGTGATATATAAAAGAGAAAAATAAAAACAAAAAGTATTATGAAAGATAAAAAGAACAAGCATTGTGGCAGTTAAAGAACATGCTTGTAGTTTGCACTTCTAAGTTTAGTTAGGACTAGGGTTTAATGGCAGTTGCTTGTTAGGCTTAGGGAAATTGGGCAGTCTGACACCTATGAGTATTAGCTAAAAATAAATAACTAAAACAGGCAGGAACTAACCAAACACATTCAGAGTGGGAGAAGAAAAGATAACCCTTAGCCAGATCTTCTGTGGTCTTTACCATTGATATGTCACACTTTAAAGTCAGGAGGTGATATCAGCCTGGGTAGCGTCTGTTTATCTGAGGGTGAAAACTCAGAGCCCAAGCTCACCTTGGTCTGGTACAGTGCCTCAGCCTCGTCCTTGCTCTTCTGTGCAATCAGTTCGTATTGGACGCGCACTGCATCAATGATGCTGTCCAAGTCCAGCGAGCGGTTATTGTCCATCGACAAGATGACATTGGTGTCGCTGATGTGGGTCTGCATCTGGGACAGCTCCTGTGAGACATGGAGCACAGCTCACTCCTTCCACCCTCCTTCTAGAGCCTCAGTCTTCTCCCTGCTTCTCCCTCAAGGCTGAGGAAGCCAGAATCTGAGCTAGAAGGGCCTCTTGGGAGAAAGCTCTCAGGATTGTTATATGCTATGAAACATACATGGATGGTCTTAAGTATCTCCACTAAAAGTGATGGGGCCCAGGCATCTTGGCAGGAGGAAGGAGCCCCACGACCCCCTCTCCATCATGCCTCTCTTGAACTCACTGTCCAAGCCTTGTTCTGGCTTCCCCACACTTTTGGTATAGCTCTTTGAAAGACACAGTTGCTTCTTGTAGCTGTAAGAGCTCTCAGCAACAGTGGAAAGGACTCCAGTTTGGAGTCACATGACTAGCAGTTTTGCCAAGCAAATAATTAAAATCTCTCTGTTCATGCATTCTTCTGTTGAACTAACAACTCCATAAGGTAAATTGGTGGCTCACGCCTTTAATCGAAGCACTCAGGAGACAGAGGCAGGCGGATCTCTGTGAGTTCGAGGCCAGCCTGGTCTACAGAGCAAGTTCCAGGACAGCCTCCAAAACAATACAGAGAAACCCTGTCTTGAAAAACCAAAAAAAAAAAAAAAAAGCAGAGCTTCTAATACAGCATTCAGTTCAAAACATGAACCACCAAGTTGGATACATGTGGCAGGTAGACTTGGAGAGAAAACTATCCTGATCCCCTTCAGTTTGTCTTTTCCACAAAATCCCTTCTATTGTTTTCTACAGGGTTCTTCCAGAGCCCAACGGCTTTCCCACAGAGCCCAAAGACCTGGTTGTTACCCTCTCATCCTAGGTGGCCTGAGAACATGAAGCAGGAAACTTCACCCTCACCTACTCAAGATTCTCACTGCCCTGCCCACATCTCCATTGCCCCCACAAGAACCCTTGTAGTTGAAGGAATGGCTGCCCCAGTGTGAAAGCTGAGGTCCTGGTGAGATGAGCCTCTCCAGTTCGTACTCTTATGGGAAGTGGGGAAAGAAAAGGGCTTCTCCTCAGGACTGAACTCACCGTATCGAATAGATATTTCAGGAAGTTGACCTCCTCGTACAGCGTGTCCACTTTGGACTGCAGGTCTGATTTGCCCATGAAAGCGGCATCCACATCCTGAATTACAAAAATGTTTTTCATCCCCCAGGCATCACCTGCCACCAGCTTCATGACTGGCTCAGGGCCAGTGGCAAATGCTCTCCAAGTTTAGTTCCTGGCGAAAAGGTGCCATCACTTCACTCAAATCAGGGACTTATAAAGTGACTTTCTTAGCTAGAAAGACACAGCAATTTCCACACATGGGTCAGCTACATCTGCTCTCTAGGTCCCTCCCCAGATCCCAAGACAGTGTCCTTCCGACTTCCTTTCTGTGTAAGTGCCTTACAATTAGGCAGAACACATGCCATCCTGGTACAAGCGTTCACCCTGTCCACAGCAAAGAGCAACCTCCTCGGGGCTCTCCTACCCAATCCTCAGCTCCCTGAGGAGCCCCCCCACCCCTTTCCCTTACCTTCTTCATAACAACAAAGTCATTCTCAGCATTGGTTCGCTTGTTGATTTCATCCTCATACCTGTGATGGAGGCAAGAAGCAGCCTGAAAAGGCTAACCTTGGCTCTCCGAGGTTCCACCCTGCAGCAGAAAGCCCAGACTTCCCCAATCCTCCACTGTCGTGAACTCAAACAGCCCTGCTCCCAGCCCTGCTGACCCCTGCCAGGGCCTGGTGTTCTGGCCTCACTGATGAATGGCTGAGGGTAGCTCCCAATCCTACTAACCGATACTAAGGACAAGGACCCGGCATGGCATGAAAAACTCAGAGACACACAGAATGTCCCCAAATGCTCATATTTGTTCTGATTCAATGTTACAAATGTTTACTTCAAGCTTTTATATTAAGACTATAAAGTAACAACCACTTTGACTAAATCTTTTAAGAGAAAAAATATTTTACCTATAGTTCTGTCCCCACCTGTGACCTACAATGTGAGTTCTAGTTTTCTCTGTAGACTCACACACACACACACACACACACACACACACACACACACACACACACATGTGACCCTCCAGTGACCCAACACAGTAAGCATGTCAATGGGATGCTAAGAGAAGCACCTGTACCCTTGTAAGAACTATTAAATATCATTTCATTTCAATCAGTGCTACTCTGTGTGGTCCCCAATTCACTAACATTAGCATCACTTGGAAATATGCTCAAGATACATATGCTCTGGCTGCATCCCAGACTCACTAGATCAGAGCCACTAGAGTAGGGTGCAGAATCTGATGCAATGTGATGCATGCTGAAGTTTGAGAACCACAGATGTATTCCTCCCAGTACTCAGCAAGGAGGGCACACTCCAGACAGAGAGATGAATTTGTAGGCAGGGCTCACTCATCCCCTCATCCCTTGCTCTTCAATGCTCAATATAATTGACAACTGGCTGTCACTGCTATCCCACCAGAACTGTCCTATGTAAAATGTCTCCCCCTGCAGTAATATACTGCAGAGCCCACATGACTGTCCCTGGTCCCACTGCAGCAGCAGGACCCTGAATGCTCTCCTTGACCCTTCCCCCACCTGGGTCCTTACTTGCTCTTGTAGTCCTCCACGACATCTTGCATGCTCCTGATCTCCATGTTTTGGCGTGACCGCTCGGAGGACAGAAAATCCACCTGCCTCTGCAGCTGACTGATGTAACTCTCAAAGATGGGCTCCAGGCTGCTGGTTCGAGTCGAGGTGTTCACCTGCTGCAGCAGCTCCCATTTTGTCTGTAGCACCTGGTTCTGCTGCTCCAGGAAGCGAACCTAAAGATCAAGGTCCCCAGGATACCCCAGGCCATGGGTCAGAACAGCTTTCTCCATGGGAAGAGCAATCAGTGGCCTTGCAGCACACTCAAACATCACAAGTTCAAGATCGGCTTTTAGGCCACTGGGGGAGGTAATGTGGTTCCTTATGTCACCTCCAGCCCGTTTCATCCAGCTACATTCCCTGACATAACACTCACCCCACACTCACTTTATCCAGGCCAAAATGACCAAGTGCCATGTCCTTTGTCTTTGTGACTGGAGCGTGGCACGTAACTGAGGCAAGACAGCAGAATTTTTAAATTGAGTGCTTTCACTTTTTAAAATCCTGAAATGTATTTAAATGCCCCAAGTAAGAACTTTGGGCTGAGATATATTTGAAAAAAATGCCTAGATTACTATTTCCAGGAAATAGAGCATGGGCATGGCCCTAGTTCTTCTTGTTGTTGTTGTTGTTTTGTTTTTCACTTTTTCCCCTCCCACTGCAGGAACAAAGATTGGATACATAGTCGGGGCTGGCTGCATAGATCAAGTGCATAGATTGGCCTTCATGTCACAAAATCCAGCTTTCACTGTTCCCCTGCTGGTGGTCCATGGTGGAACCTCCTCTCGCATACAGTGATAGAGATGGCTGTGCCAACTATGTGCTTCCCTCAGGGACTATGCACATGTGTGCACACACAAACAAATGCTCACACACTCTTATACATATGTGAAAGTGTGCATCACATACTCACATGCACATATATTTTTTTGGTTTTATGAAACAGGGTTTCTCTGTATTGTTTTGGAGGCTGTCAGACCAGACCAGCCTCGAACTCACAGAGATCCGCCTGCCTCTGCCTCCTGAGTGCTGGGATTAAAGGTGTGCGCCACCACCGCCCAGCTTCACATGCACATATTTACATGCACAAATATTCACACTCACACACAGGCATATTCACACACACACTCACATTCACAAGCACACATTCACACACTCACTTGTACACAAATGCATGTGCCCACAAACACATTCCTATATAAGTATGTTTATAAACACATCCATTCACATATGCACATTAAGAGACAGAAAGAGATCCCCAAAGCCCAGCTCCTTCCTCCAGGAGCTGTGAAAGGGAGTGGGGAAACCATTGCTTTGTGGAATCAGAAGAGCACTTTGCAGACACTATCCTATGATGCACCACTATAAGCCTCCCAGAATCCCCAGGTCCCTGAGACTACACCTGTCTAAGGGTCCAGCCCTTGCCAAGTCCTTTGGATTCTGACTCTAATCAGAAGGATGTATGCAGAGAGCTTATCTTGGCTGGCTGTATCACAGCAAGGGATTGGGCAACCAGCTCTCAGAGCAGACATGTCAGCACAGCTTATAACACCCCCACAAGAAATTCCTGCTACTATCTATTTTTATTCTGTGGTGACACTCCCAGGGAGTGGAAAAGTCAATTCTACACCCCATTACAGCTGTATGATTGCTGACAGTGGCATAGTGGGTATGGACTTTCTCAGATGGTGGCTTTTATTCCAAATGAGACAAGGTGTCAGGGGAATTTATTAGGAGAGGAGAGGGTGCTGTGCTTTCAAGGGATGGCTCTGCTGTGCTATTGAGAATAGGTCAGGCTGTACTAACAGGAAATCAGAGACCAGGATGAGAACTTACAGTAATAAAATCTTGATGTATTCCAGCTGGAGGCCCAGCGGCTGACGGTTATCATGGCCTGCTCCAAAGGGAAGACAGGAAGCCACTATCTCCTGTACCTTGGTACCCTGCTGTAAAACTAAATGGGTCTCTGCTGATAGCAGGAGCCTTGATCCAGTGAAAATCCCAGATTAATTTCCAGAAGTCTATGGCACTTTATGAATATCAATTTTTCCCTGCTCCTCCCTTGACCAGCCTTGGCCTCCTTTACTATGAAGTCCTTGCTCCAGGCAAATCTTCCCATCTCTGCCTGTACTCATGCACAGTGATGTCCAAAAAGGTTTCTCACCCAGAGTGATCAGAAGTAGCACATGGTTCTATTGAACTCCCTAGGGCTGTCCATGACCCTCCCTCCATGTCCTCCTCCTGCTCACACACTGCTCCATCCAACACTTGCCCAGATAGCAGGCAGTGGTCATTGTGCCTCTCTCATCAAGTGCCGAAGAGAAGGCTTTTGCTTTCTGCCAACATCTCCTCTGAGATCTGAACATAAGGTAAACCTAATCAGTGAATTGGTTTAAGGGGCATCACAGTAGCATGCAGGTGTAAATTGGTTATGTATATGAATGTGGGTAGAAGGATGTGTAGATGATATTTATTGTGGATGATAGATGAGTGGGTGGATGGATATGTAGATGGATGAATATGGATGGATGGGTGGATGGATGGATGAGGGTGAGTGGATAGGTAGATATATTGGATGGATGCATAGATGCATGGATGTAGATAAGTAGATAGATATAGATAGGTGAATGAATGGATAGATAGATGGATGTATGGAGATGGATAGATGTGAATAAGTGGATGAGTAATGGATGGATATGTGTGCCTGGGAGGATAAGTGGATGGATAGATGTGTGCAGATGTGTAGATAAATGGATGGTGTATGTGGGTAAGTGGATGGATGGATGGATGGATGGATGGATGTGGTTGAGTTGGTAGGTGAAAGGAAAGATGTGTATGGATGGTGGGTAGAAGGATGGATGCTGGGTATCCATTTAAATGAGTAAATGGGTGACTAGATACACAGATAAATGGAATGTGGGTAATGATGACTGAAAGTGAGATTACTGTCATGGATAACTGTTGGGTTTTGTCACAACCCTTATCTGCTTTCCAACTAAAAGGGAAAGATAAAAACCACATATCCCTGAGAAGCCTATATTAAATGCTATCTCTGTGAAAACTTTGGTCAAATGCTTTCTTGGGGTCCCAGAACACACAAAAGAGGACGTGACTGTCATCATCAAACTGAAACAGCATAGTAGTAGCAGCACTGTGGCAGAGTGTGACACCCTCTTGACTAAGGACTCTATCTGCCCCTGAGGTACTCACCTTGTCAATGAAGGAGGCGAACTTGTTGTTGAGGGTCTTGATCTGCTCACGCTCTTGAGTCTTCACCCTCTGAATTTCAGGGTCCACCTCCAAGTGTAGGGGCTCCAGGAGGCTCTGGTTAATAGTCACCTCATGGATACCCCCAGAAGGATAAGAAGGACCGAAACCCCCAAGCCCAAAATTGCTAGCGCCAAATCCAGCACCCCCAAAGCCACCTCCAAATCTGCCACCACCATAGCCACCACCTCCAAAAGCACCACCTCCAAAGCCACTACCTCCAAAGCTCCTTCCTCCTCCAAATCCTCCTGCTCCTCCACCTTGACAGAAACCACTGGCGCTTCTCCCCACTAGGTTCCCAAAGATGCTTTTACTACCACCCAGACTGTAGAGACTCCTGGAGCTAAAGCCCCCTCCATAACTACCCCCACCATACCTCCCCCGTGACACAGACCCCACAGCCTGTCTCCCACCACCAAAGCCTGAGGAGGACCTGCTGCTATAGGCCCTCTTGCTCCTCGAGCTAAATGCAGACTGAGAACTAAACCTGTGGCTCATGGTTGCTAGGGCAACCAGAGGTGGGAAGCAAGGGCCCAACTGGAAGGAGGCAGAGAGCAGGGAGGGAAGGAGTTGTGACTCCCTTGGAAAAGATCTGGCTCAGTCCCTATATATACACACGCCTGCTGGGCTGGGTGTCTGGGAGGGGAATATTTGCCAGTAATATCTGCTGAAAAACCTCACACCTATGTGTTGCTGAAATTACATTGCGGACAAACTCCCCCGACTTGATCATTTATCATTCATCTCTTACTACGGAGAGAGATCGAAGGGTAGCAATCTCTCTGGATCTCAGTGTTGGAAACTCCTGTAGAGTTTCTCCTCAAATCTCAAATTGATCTTTTCCTAAGAAACGCCATTGAGTTGTTTGTTTTGGGGTGTACCTGTGGAATGTCTAGAGACTTTGGGACCACAGCAGGGATGAGAGTGAAGATACTCGCTATAACAGGGCTGTCCCTGTGTTCAAAAGCTGGTTTTGTTTTGCATCTTTTTTGTGTGTCAACAAAATATTTTATGAGCATCTCCCTGTATTAATGTCTCCTAGACTCAAAGGTAAACTACCCCAGATTATCTTCTTCTCTTCTAGTATTTATAAACTGACACTGACAATATTTTTGCAAAAAAAACAAAAAGAGTAGTTATCCTTTAAGGGACATGTAAAACCACAGATTTTTAAAGCCTTAATTTGGAATTTATTATCATTATTATTATTATTGTTTTTATTTATTATTTATTTAGCCAGCATGAAATTGCCCTGCTAGTAAAAAAAACAGCAATAATAACAGTAAGTTCCTAAAGGGTTACTCTCAAATTCTATACTTATAAGAGAATAGCAATGAAATAACCATGGCCCGTGTGCATTCTCTGAGGACTGTCCCCAATAGGAGGCCTAGTGTGAAGTTCATGGGAGTGTATTCGTATCATCCAATAGAGTGTGTTGTTGCTTCTGAACACAAATAGTTGGTGGACTGCATCCAAAATGCACTAATAAATGTTTTAAACATGAAGAGAGGTAATAAATGTCCACTTTCAAAAAAAAACATCGGGTAATGATTTCTCCACATGAACACAATTATTTGAAACCTGAAGGAAACGTAACAGGACCAGAAAAGGCTGTGATATAATAAATGTTACAGAGTGCCTGAGGTCCTCAAAAGTCACAAGGAACATGAATCACTCTTGTGCAGGTTGTGGGACACTTTCTCCTAGGATTTTAATGCCCTTTTTTCTATATGTTCATTAAATAAATAAATAAATAAATAAACTTTTCGACAGTTGTTGCTGACTCCCAAGTGCCCAAATTTGGGGCAGAAATCAAGGCAGGAGAGATCAGGTGGCCTGAAAAGGAAGAGATGCAGCTGGGAGCAGCTTTGGAGAGGGACATCCTGCGGCTGGGAGTGCCCTGAGAGCTGTTGCCAGAGTTCCTGCCTTATCACTGTCCACAGTGCTCAGCGTGGGAACTGATTAATGGGTCATCTCCAGGGATCACTGAAGAGGGAAACGAGAGTTAACCTGAGACGCGGCCAAAAGCTCAGCTCTCAGCTCCAGGTCCTGCTTCTGCCTGGCTGTTGTCATCTCGGACAAGCCACTTGCTCCAGAGCCTTGGATGCTACCTTCTTTCCAGCCTCCACGAATCGAAGCACAGCAGAGAGCACTGCAAAACCCTCCAAATGTGTGTGGTAGCTGCTGTCTCCCTCCCACGGCCCCATCCTGATGAACAACAACCATCCCACATCATCTGTGGATCCCAGCTTCCGCTGGGGCAGTGCTATACGAGTCGAAACAGATGGCCATCCTAGTCCTTTTTATCTATACACAGCCCTAATTCCCAACCCTAGCTAGCCGCTAGGGACTTTAGGACAATGAAGCCAGGACCCCTTGCTCAAAGATGAAGAGAAAGCAATGGGGCCAGAGGAAGAGTTGAAAGTGAAACCGTAGAGATTCATATGCACGGGAAAGTCGACAAAGGCCAGCGTTCTGAGTCGAGCTGAGGCAGAAGCAGAGAAAGAGGAAGGTCAGTCAAGAAGACGGGAGTGTTACAATGGCTGTGGCAACAGTGGTTGATGAAGGGATCCTTGAGATGAGCATCTTTAAACTTGTCTTTAAAGCATGGCTTGGCCCCTTCCCAGCCCCTTGGTTTGAACACTTGCCTCCTCAAGTCTGGGCTTCAGACCCCTGAAACAGAGAGACCTAACATCAGCTGCGCTCACGTTTGAAAGAGCAGCTGTCAGTTGGTCAGATGAGCGGGGCTCTTTCCGCTAACACCTTCAGGAAGCTTCCCCTAAGACCAAAGCCTTGGGAGACTCTCTGCAGTGCTTGCCCATACTGCATGCTCCTGTCCATCTCTCTTCATGTCCAAGTTCACACCCAACTAAATAAATAGAACCAAGCATGGCCCAGGAGCCCCTCCCTAAAAAGTGTCCATCATATTTCTGGCTGAGTGGTAGCAAAGGCTAACACATAGATATTTTGAAGAAGGAAGAGCCTAGGCCCCACGTTGGGCCAGCCTCACCATGTTCTGACTCTGTGGCTGTCCTGTTTACTGATTGCTGATACTCCCTCCCTATCACTCTCCGCCTGCCATCAGCAAGTGCTCTCCTTAAAAGGAAAGTGGGAAGTCAGCTTGTCCCCACCTGACTCCCAAATACTGAAACCCAAGGCTGCCAAGAGGGTGAGGCCCAGGCAGCTATCAGCCACCAGAATCACAGTCTCAGCAGCAGCTGGGGGCAGGGTTCAAGAGGACCTGCTGGTGGAACCCACAGAAGCATCCTCACAGATATGCTCCCCATCTCATCCAGCATCTCCCAGGGGCTGGAGTTAGATACAGCATGGGCGTGGCAGAGAAAGGCCTGAGGAAGAATCTCACTCACCAGCCCCCACCCAGAGGGCAAAGCATGGTGCAGTACATGTGGGGCTTGTGCTAGCCTTGTGATAGGAGCTTTGGGACCTGTAATCTGGGGTGATATCGATGGGGAGAGAGAGGCTGCTGGACAGAGCAGAAGCTCCAGCCTTGGTTTCCACCCAGCAGGAGCTACTTCTCGCTGGTCAGGCATCAGAACTGGACTTGCAATAGAGGTCACCAGTGGTTGGCGTCGTTTCACAGGAGGAAGTGGGTGCAGAGAGAGGGACTGGTCCAAGCGACAGAGAAGGCTGGTGGTGCAGCTGACATTGCAGCTCCTCTCTCCCAACCCCAAAAGAAAAGAGAGGTCGGCAAGGAAGTCCCAGGCATCCTCTGCTCTGAAGCCTGGGAGACAGGCACGCTGAGGGCTATCCCACCAACTGGCAGGTCCCGTGACCAGGTGACAGTCTGGCAGGTCATGTGACCAGGAGGAGGACGGTGGTATCTAGTGCACAGCACATTATTGGAGAATTCTGATTTCTGGGTTGGGGTAGCTGCTGAGCCACCACCTAATGCTCCCAAAGCATCTAAGACCTCACCTTTGAAACCCTCTTTGACTAGAATTCCAGGACCAACCTGGGATTGAAGGATAAAGTAGTGTCCTTCTACCTCATCAAATCTCTCAGATGCTCTTAGCCCCCGAAGCCCCCACGAGGTCTCAGCACATCTCTGCAGATTCCATGGGGAAAGGTCCAGAGACAACATTTGTTCCAGACATAGCAAGGCTCTTCCATCCAAAGTACTGGAGGTCTGACTTTTTGAACACCCTTCACCAAAGCTGGTACTGCCTCTTGTCCCTGAGGCAAAGGGAGCAGCTGGCCATGTGTGGGCCTAAAGGAAAATAAGGTTGTAGGCTGGACCCAAGCTGAATTCCAAGAGAAACAGTAAGGCCCTAGCTGTGAATCATGGTTGTCTGGGCAGAGGATGCTTCCGTATATTGAATCAAGATGGAGTCAAGGCACACTCAAGGTTATAGGGATCATTGGTAATGGGGTGTGGACCAGAATCCCAAATCCCTGGGGCAGGGGATAGGAAATAGTCAATAAGTTCCAGGCTCATATGTCCCTGCCCATGTTAAAGAGATTGTAGCAGTATACAAGCATAAGGAATAGCTATTATTCTTTCCTCCATTTAAAGAGTAATCAGGTTCCTGGAGCAATGTCATAAACAATGTGACCATTTATTGGGCTCTTACATGGCATTTGAGCCCCATAGCCACATCTTTGGGGCAAAAGGTTCATTCACATGTAGAGGCCAGAGGTTGGTTTCAGGTGTCTTCTTCTGCCACGCTTCATTTTATATTTTGAGACAATCTCTCACTGAACCTAGAGCTTGCCACTTCTGCTGGATTGTCTAACCAGATGCTCCTTGGATCCGCCTGTGTCAGTACCACAAGCACTGGAGTTTCCGTCTCCACACGTCTGTCACCAGGGTTACAGACTCACCTCACACTCTGATTTTCATGTGGGTGCTGGGGCTCTGAACGCAGGTCCTCAAGCTCACACAAGCATTTTACCCACTAAGCCATCTCCCCAGCCCCCATTTTTTTCTTCAGTGGGCAAAGTTTCTTGTAACCCAGGCTGGCCTCAAACTCTCTGTGTAACAACCTCCTGACAGTCCTGCCTCCACCTCCTGAGTGCTGTGGTTACAGGTTTGCATCACCGTGCTTGGCATGTGAGGCGCTGGAAGGGAGGCTAAGGACTCCGGGGATGCTAAGAAAGTACTCTGCCGACGGAGCCACACCCCAAGCCCTGCAACCACACTTCACTAATGACTTTCAGGTGTGGGCAGGGTAGCCCTGACCCCAGGTCTCACCAAAGCCAGAGACCCTGCCATTGCTCCTTCTGCTTCATGGGGTTAGCTTTCAGAGCTCAGCTGCTGGGATCTAAGTCTTGACCCCACCTCATTTGACTCCCTCTACATGTTCACTGTTCACTAGTCTCTCCACACTTACATTTCCTCATTTGTAAAACACAGGCGCTGCCTACCTCATGGGACTGGGCAACTTAGAGCAGTTAATTCATGAGACACTCAGCACATAGCTGCAAATGACAAGATGGTCACTTTAACAGTTACTGTACAAAGCAACCCTCTGTCGACTACACTGGGTTCTCCATCCAACTTCTCACAACAAATTACAGCATCTTCATTTCCAAAATCATAAGCTGCAAT